CTGGAGCAGCCCCCCCCCCTCCCCCCCGCTCCCCAGGCCCAGACACGGCCCCTCTGGGCTCTGTTACGGGGGCAACGATCTGCCCAGAATGGGCCTTTGTTCTGGGTGTGGGGTTCAGCCTGCTCCCCGCCCCCCCGCCCCATGTGCTCAGCTGGACCCAGCCCTCACATGCCCCCACCTGCCTGCCCCCCGCTCGGCTGTGCCTCCACTCAATGGAGGGGCCATCGCTCCCAGATCCCCGTGCCTGCGCAGTGACGTCAAACAGTGACCAGCCCCCGGTGGCTCCGCCAGGCTCATCTCAAACCCTGACACCCTCTGTGGCCTGGCCTTCCCCCTGCCTCAGTTTCCCCATGTGTCCCATGCAGATACCGCTCCTGCCCCTCCTCCCCGGGGCCGCGTGGGCACTGACGTGCAGAGACGCCCTGTACAGGCTCACAGGCCCTCTGCTCGCCGGCCCCGTGGGCTGCCAGAGACACCACATCCTTGCCACCCCTCTGCCAGGCTGGTGGCTGTCACCTGAGAGTCGAGGGCATCCCAACAGGGGTGGGGCCGGAGGGAGGTGCGGACGATTACCACCCATCAGGGAATGGAGCCTGCGCCTCCAAGGGGGAAGGGGAGTGGGTTTGATTTAGGGGGGAGCCCAGAGGGGTCAGTGCTTCCCTGCCCCAGCAGGCTGAGGGTCCGATCCAAAGCCCAGTGCTCCGGATCAGGCCCTATATCCTCAGCCCGTTCAGGGACGTGGCCGCTCCCCCAAAAGCCACCAGCAAGAAGCAGCCCTCGTCAGTCAGGGGCCTCCACTTCCCACCTGCCCCCCCAGGGCTGGCCTGCCCCCACCCTGGGAGCCGAGGGAGGGCTGGCAGATGGGTCCCAGCTGTTCGGGGCTGGGCGCTGAGATCCGCCCCCAGGGCCTACAGGGCAAAGCCAGGCACAAGGGGACGTGCTGGCAGGGGCCAGGCCAAGGTGCCAAGCCCCCAACCCCCGCCGCCAGCCCCTTACCTCTCCTGCAGTGCTAGGTGGCGCGGCTGAGACACAGTGCCCCAGGCAGCGGCTTGGAGACGGCTGGTACCTGTGCAAAGTGCTCTCCTGCCAGAGACGGGCGACCTTTGTCCCCTCCTTCGCCCGAGCCTGCCTTCGCCATATAAGGGCAGGAGCCTGGGGAGGGACACGCAGGCAAGCCAAGGTCCCTGGGTCCCTTGGGAGCTTCCCACTGCTGCCCTGGCACCGTTACTCCCTGTTTATTGCCCGGCATGCGGCATCGTTATCTCGTCACAGATCTGTCCCCTGGCCCCACCCCGCCTCAGCCTGCAGCAGGAGGCACCTGCCTCAGAGCCTGGAGCCGAATCTGGCAGTGCTGGGAATCAGCAGGGAACCGGCGCGGTGTCGCGGGCAGAGAGGCACCGGGGAGAGCAGGCCCCGAGCACCCCGCCCACAGCAGAGTCCCCGGCAAAGCGCGCCATGGGCCACTGGACGGCTGGTACCCAGGAGAGGAACACACGCCGCTCTGAACGCACTGGGCCCAGTCAGGTCAATGGCATTCCACCCGCCACCGAGGACTCTGGGTAGAGTGCACCCATCTGCCCCTGGGCATTCTGGGTAGAGTGCGCCCACCTGCCCCCGGGCATTCTGGGTCGAGTGCGCCCACCTGCCCCC